TGTTACTCTTGAGCTCGGAGGAAAGGGAGAAGAACACGTTCGAAGGGAACAGGGACATATTCTTGGGATCTCTCGAGGATGACGCTTGGCAGGAATTCCTGGGGGAATTCAATCGAGAAGTGGGCAGCGAGACGACGCTGGACAAGTTCAAGAAGGAACTGTGGGACGCAGTAGTGAGATTCGGGGAACCGCTCCTGATAGGAACGGGCCTGGATGAGAAAGCAAGAAGAGAGCTGCTGAACAAGCTAGTGGAGCTGAGGAACGCACGATCGAAGACTAGAAAAGAGAAATGTGAGGACAGCTCTACTCTGAAACAAAAAACTGTGGATAAAATGGTTGATGGTATAAAAAGGGATAAGGTTGGGACTAGTAATATGATTAAAAGTACTAATATCCTTAAGGCTCGAGCAGGGGGGAGGCAAGAGTTGGAAGGAGTGGATGGAGAGGTCGAATCAATGATGATAGCCACAACACCCTCGAGCAGAGATGTGAAGACTCGCAAGAGGAAGAGAGAAGTGGAAGTATGGGGTAGTCCTTCAGTGGATGCTGTTTCGGAAGGAAACTTGAGAGAGACGGCGCCCATCGTTTTGGCCCGATGCAAGACGGCGGCATACAAGAACAGCTCGGAGCTCAGGAAACCACTTGAAGTAGAAAAGGAAATAGAGGTTTCCACCAGTTCGACGTCAGAAGAAGACTTCAAGCCTCAGAAGGTAAACGTGAAGAGAGGTTCAACGAACGGACAGGTAGGGGAAGTGGAGATCGGCAAAGAATGGATCTCGAAGGCACATCAGGACATGGGCAAACAAGTGACGAGTGATCCATTGGAGAGGAGCAAGACGAGGAACACTTCCCGGACGTGGTGGGTGGCCCTCGAAACATTGAAGGAAATGGAGGACTGCTTGAAGAAGTTGGACAGTGGAATAGCTCGCAGGCGACGCAATTGGGCCACCCAGCAAAAAGCCGAGGTTAATAAGATAGAGATGGCAAGTCATCTGAAGAGGTCCTGGCAGAGTTTGTTGAAGGATCATTTTGAAGAGGCGATGAGAACATCCTCATCAGCACCGCCACTAATGGCGAATCCCTTCGTTAGAACTGCGGGACAATTAATGTTCACCTGGAGTCTGGTGGGAATAGAGTTGGAGACATTGACCTCGTATGACAGGCTGAAGTTGGGAAGCAAGAAGCTAGAGGTGTATCAGGCACTGATGCAACACGTGGCCAGGGACAATTCAGGCTTGAGCCTGGCTAGAAGAAAAGATGCCACATGTTTCTTGAGATGGACAATGTCAATGATGTCTGATAGCACCATCCTGGCATGCCACCAGAGAGCAAGTGGAAGTAAAACCATGGAGAGAAGAGTCTCAACGATCATCTTGAACGTATATCAGAGTACAGGAATAGAGAAAGAAGATGGTTCCAGACTATCCTTAGAGAACCATCGAAAGCTGGACGAGGTACGGAGGTTCTCTAATAAGAAGTTCGAGGAAGAACATGATGTTCACCGTAACCTGGCCTCGTCAGAACAGTACTCGAGACTCAGTGAGAAGGGGGAATACCAATATGTGTCTGGAGTGATGGGAATAGCCTACAATCCCTTCTTAGACTCGGAAGCTGGAGGAGCCCACAGAAACCATGAGGTAGCGGAGCTACTGAAGTTTTGGACAGAAAGAATAATGGAGATAGACGCGGTGGAGAAAGAGGGGCCGAGCCTGGGCCTGATTCTTGAGAAAACACCAGAGGTGATAAGCATACCGCGCTCAAACAAGAGAGTTGAAGTGAACATGGGCGGTGGAGATGGCTTGTTAACCACGAACTTGGGAGTGATATGGAAGCTACTAAGACCCTCCTGGTGTCCACATCCCCATGCGAGTCTAATCGAGGAAACCACCGAGCGAGTGAGGTTAGCACCAACGGAAGATGAAGATCTGGCGAAGTTGAGTGTGCTACATAAGCTAATCACACCCCAGATGCAAGAGCCAAGCGAAAGGACGAGCGACCCCGGGTCAGCAAAGAAATTGGAGCCGGGTAGCTGTCTGGATTCGACGTGTGGGAACGGAGAGCACATCTGCGATGGACGGTCATGCGTCAGAATACTGTCGTTTCAAAAAGAAGACCTGGTCACTTGGTTCGAAGACATCACAGAAAGGGAGAAAAGTGAAGTGCAAATAATAGCGGAATGTTACGCGAGAACCACGTTGAATATAGCGACAGCTCTCGGATTCTTCTCGAGAATGTGTGGTCTGCAGGCACTGGAGAGACTGGAGTCTGAACATCATTTAGTGACGGCGTTGAGCGTAGAATCATGGCCCGGGGTGTTGCAGGTGACTCAAAAACACATCCGGAGCTGGAAGGTTGGTCTTGAGGCGGAAATGGGATTTCCCATGAGCGAAGCTTATGGCTTGCCATTGAACGCGAAATCGCTGATAGGGTCAATGATGGCCAACTTGTGCGGAAGTCACTACCCGCTACACATGGCGATGGTGGAAGTGTCCAGCCAGAGAATACTGGTGGACAAGGCCTTCTCAGTGCCCAAGTGTGTGAGGTTGGCTCGGATGTCGCATCACTCGCACAAGTTGTTGAGAAAAATCAAAGGGACAGTACCAAAAGAATTGAGAGATGACTTAAGCGAAATCTGGGGAGAAGATCTTCTGAAGTTGGAAAGAGAAAACACGAGCGATCACGAGAGACAAAACGTGATCGGGAAACCTGTGGGAAGTACTCCGAACCTGGAAGACAACGACACGATGCACGAGAAAATGATGGAGCTTGAGCCTCTCTTGGAAGCCTCAGGGGAGCGTAATCTCAGGAGCATTGAGATCTCTCATGGGGAATGCCCATGCCACTGTTTGGCACAAACGGTGTGGTATCCAGATCACAAGAACCTTTGCCTGGTGTGGGATGTGGAAGAGATTCGGTCGATCGGACTACCGGATCACCGGCAGAAGGTGACGCTCTTAGTAGTGAGTACGATGTTAGCTCTGAGATGGATAGAAGAGAATATAACGAAGTATCGGGAGGCGACGACGCCAACGGCTGAGTCAATATACGCGATAGACTACAGCAGGAGACTCGAGTTGTTTGAGACTGCGTGCAAAGTATTCGCCATACCGACGGAAGTCAGGCACGTATGGAGTCGCTTGAGGTACTTTCCATGGTTTCGGGCGACACTGACGTCTTGGTTGTACATGACAACGAAAGATCACATGAGAAAACATCAAAAAGAGTATCGACAGTTCCAGGCCGAGATTGGGCCGGAAGCTTTCAAGAGACCCCTGCTAACCCATCGTAATGCGATCACGACAGGATGGAAAAGAGTGGGTAAGATGTCTAGAGACAATACCAAAGCGAGGGAGTCGATACTAGAGGAAGACCTGGCGAAGAACGTGAGCTTGAGCCTGCACAACTCCTTTTGCTTGAACCGAGAAGCTAGGGTGAAGGCACTACCCAACCAAGCAAAGAGATTGCAGGAGCAGAGAGAATGGATGCGATCCTATGAACAGCTGAAGGCTTGGGAGGAGATTGTGATTAGTTCCGATGATGAAGAGGAACTGTTGAGACAGTTTGCCGCATCTAGCACTTCAGGATGCAGTACCTCCAAGGTGAAGAGCACGAGATGAATGGGCAATTCGGATGGATCTTGAGTCTTGAGAGGGAAGGGGGGCTTGAGCGTGGATCTGAGTGAAACTTGGATTCACGAAAAAGAAATTTTAACAAAGCAAATATTGTTACTAATATACTATATTTATTATATAAATCGAAAATGCTGCATGACAATTTCCTGATTGAATAGGACAAAAGAGATTTTAAAATGATTGGCTTGAAAAGCGAAAATTCAAGGGTGCAGGTGTATGCAGATTTTGGTTGCTGTTTAGCAATAGTGTGAAAATTTTAAATGGCTGTGAATTTTGGGGTGTAGATAAGCTTAAATCTGCTGCAAACTTCTGTAAATGACCACTGGCACTGTATCTTGAGCAACACTCGGTTTTTCTGGGACTCACTGGCAGAAGACAGCGCGCGATGAGGACATCGATCTCGAGTCCGGGGAGTATGTGCCAGTCGGTCATATTTGGAAGTTTGACCTTGAGAGAAGCAAAAAACACTTGATTTTGGAGTGAGATTTAATTTTTCAAAGTTTCGAATGGAACCTGTCATGCACGATTTTCTCGCGAGAACTGAAAATCAGAAAAAGAGATCAGAACAATTTCAGAACGATTAAGACACACACGCGGGAAAGTCGCAAGAAAAAACAGTAGGAAATTGCTATTCGCAATTTCCATCACTATAATAATCGAGAGTAGAGCTGTCCCATCTGTGACAGAGACGAGAGCATTCCCTCGAGTTGGATTATTACGATTGGAATACTATTCTTGACTGGACCAGAGTGAACCTTCGGTGGAAAGGTGGACAGCTAGAGTGTCCCAATGGTTCACGAGAACTTGCAGTCTAGAGTAAAAACTTGTTCTTGTTGAAACTGACTAACATTAAACTCATATTAGTTACTTTATTAATTCTTGAGTTGTTTACCGACTTATTTACTTCCTGGTTCTTGAGCGTGCTACAATGTGAGTACTTAATTTAAATTCTAGAGTGTGTTTTATAATTGTTATGTTGAGGTAAGGCGAGTTTTAGGTTGATCCATCTGAAATGGATCAAAGTTCCACTGTCTAATAAAAAGTAACTTAACGGATTGTTCCAACCCGGTTTTTAACGGCGTTCATGTATTTTGGGTATCTAGAGACCTAAGTATGGGGACGTTTCTAATTCTAGAGTGGGGGGATATTTTAGTAGTAGCCTTTAAGCTGTAACGGGTCGTAGTCTCATGTCACAAGCGAACCGAACTGGCTCCGACCGTTCTTGAGGTAGAAAAACACAAGAGATAGTGTCCCTGACCCTTGAGCCAGTGGTTATAGGGCCTATTTTTCTTAAGCCTCATGTGTGACTGCAGTAGACGAATGTTACATAGTTTCAATGCATCATTTTTAAATTGCAGTTCTGTTTTCAGACAGTCATTTCTCTGGCTCGTAAATTATCAAAATGACGTAAGAAGAGTATCAAAAAATGGCCTTATTTTGTAGTCAAGATGACTTTCTTTTTTCACAACCTGACGATGACTCCCTTGGACTAGATTCAGATGATGACAAATCTGTTGACGATGGGTTATTGCTCATTATTAATCCGACTTCTGAGCAAAAATATGTTTCTTTTATTCGTTCTGCTAGATCCACTCTTGCATATATGGGATTCCTTGGTTTCTTTCTGGTGTACTCAATGAGAATTAACATAAGCGTTGCCCTATTAGACATGGTCGACAGCGAAAGTTCCAATGCTAGTTTGAATGAAAACTGTCCTGCTTCCAATGTAACAGAACGCAACCAGTCAACTTTGTCAGGTACTTGAAATTTTGAAGTCTTTGTCATTATAGCCCATCCAGTAAGCAACAAAATAAAGAAAACATGCTCAGTGAAATAGGATGTTAACCTCTATTTATTTATGCATTACTGGTAACCATATCCAGCGCTAATTTCAACTAGCAAAACATGGATGCAATTTTGTATGAATGTAAATACGAACAAAAGCACGTCAGTTTGAAAGTCATTTAAAAATTGACAAGCTGGAGGGGCTCTAACTTTGTGTTGATATTTAGCTGAAGGGACTATTATGTGAAAGACCCGAAATTTTGTTATTCGCAGACAAGACAACTCAGTTAATAGTTTTTAACTGCAATTGAAGCGCAGTGTTAGATTGTATAGCAGAACCGTCTTCGTTTATTGATCAAAATGTGTAGGTTTGAACGTTACAAGCAGATAGTTCTATGTTTCTAAATTTTTTGCTCCATCGTATTTGCCAAAAGTCTAAGCTCATATGTGGTCTTCTGTTTTGTCTATGCACTTCCGATAAGCAAGGGTATAGTAATCGGGTACTAGACTTTTTCCCGTAAATAACTTTGTTCACAGAATAGTCAAAATTAATAATGGTAATTTAGGTTCAGTTCACAATGAATTCCAACTTTTTTGCGTCTCTAGCATTTTTTGTCTGGAGGTAACAAGTGCGCCAGGGACGCCAAAGGTCCTGGGTTCAAATTTGATAAGACCTGTTTATTTTTTTGAACGGGAAATAGTTATTTCAAAAAACTGTCAGCTAATTTTTTCTGATTATGTTTTGTGGGCTCAGTTGCCATATTGTAGAATTCAAGTTTTTCTTAAGTTTTTTTAGTTAGAAATAAAATATCAACAGTAATAATAATAAGGTGAATTTTTGGAAAGCAAAGTCCCATATAGTCCGGTTAAAGTTCTATTAGATAATTTCTGGTTCGACAAGGTTCACATAAACATAAAAATATCCGTTGGATTTTCGGTAAACTGAAGGGGTCGGAACGTGAATTTGGATCAAAAGTGCAGAAGGATTTACACTCGATGTCATACTGCCCATTAATGATTTTCGACGATAGTAACAGCTCCGTCAGAACCTGGAAATAAAATAACGGCAGAACACCAAGTTTGATGAGAGCGTCTTTATAATTTGATTAGTTTAATTAATTTCTTGTTAAAACTTTCAACCATCTTCATATGACTTTTTAAGGCTGTCCAGCAGGGTGATACATATAAAATTGTAGGCTCAATGGTTGACTTATAGACATTCAGCTTACTTTGGACACATAAATGAGACGAGCAATTCCGTTTGAATAGATAAATCAACTTTAAACCTGACGCATTTTTTGCCTGTAGGTGACAGGTCCGTTTTAGATCATTTGACAGGAGAAGACCGAGATCTTTAACCAAAGTCACATCTGCTAAGACATTTTTATCGAGATCAAATGATTTTGGTTTTTTTTGACGAAAAGAGATAAAGCTGAGCATTTCTTGGCATTGAAAAATAACAAATTGCTTTTGCTCCAAAATTGAAGGGCCTGAATGTCAGAGATAAGTAAATTAAGTTTTTCTCCTGAAAATATAGTTCCAAGTCGTTGGCAAATAGATAACATGAAGGGAAGATGTTGTTTGGCAGGTCATTTATAAAAATCAAGAATGGCAAAGGACGCATTACAATACCTTAAGGTCTCGATCTTCTTTAGTTGGACGGAATGATTAATTTTATCAAATGCCTTAGCAAAATCAAAAAATAGCATAGTGCACAAAGAATTGATATTTTATCTGTAAACCTGGCCAAGACATGATAATAATTGTAGTACATGAGATTGTCTGCGAATGAAACCAAACTGGTTTGAAAAACAAATACCTTGGAAAATTGGAAACAAGTAGTTAAACATCAGCTTCTCGAAAGCTTTAGATAACACGTTCAAACGGTAACAGGTCAATAATTAGTGATTTCGCATTTGCTTCCATCTTTGTTAATAGGCGTAATGATACCTGTTTTCCATTCGGATGGAAAGACGAATAACCGACAATTATTGCGAAACAAATTGAACACTGAATGAGTCTCATTAATGAAGAATGAAGAATGAATCTCATTAACAGATTCTTTCAAAACAAGGGGTGGCAAACCGTCAATGCCTCGGCTCTTAGTAGTAACTAAAGACTGGAGTTCAGTATATACTTCAAGTTTGGTAATTACGAATTCCTTGTTAGTAAAGAATCATGAATACGGTGGCAATATTATGGTACCGTTGTCACTTACAGCAGAAGCGAAATATGCTTTGAAAAATTCAGACTTCTCAAAATTGGTAGTGGCTTCCAAATTCCCTCATCTCACGGTACAAGGGAGGTCGTGGCGTCTTAAGCTCTCGAATTATTAAAAAATTTTGTGGGTATTACGAGCTCAAATTAGTTTGGCCTCAAATTCGGCCAAATCATAGTCTTGAAGCTCAATACATTGGGATTCTTTATCGGCTTCTTTTTGCTGGGAGGAAAGGTAAATGTTTTTTGAATGCGAGACCCTAAGCGTATTGAGACGTTTCAATTGATTTGAGGTTGCGGGCGTAATCCAGGGAGCCAAACTTTGCCGATGTCTCGTTCTCAAGGGGGTACTCTTATTTATGCTGTTAAAAAGCCAGGTTCACCTGTTTCTGATCATCACGTTAATATTAGAATCACCAAGATATCAGTAATGTTTCGGCCTTGTTAACTAAAACAAGGTCAAGCAGGTTCGCGGAAGTTGTCTGGAAAGTCACCAGTTGGCGTAAATGGAACTTGTCGCACAGTTCTAAGAACCTCAATTCATAGTCGTCTTCTGAGACGCATGCTTCCCAGTTGACACCTTCTAAGTTAAAATCTCCAGCTATGAGTACGTTAACAATTGAGAGACTGAATACAAACCCGAGCAACTCTTCGAAATCAACATTTTTTAAGCGATAACTGCTCTTCGGGGGTGGGTTGTAAACAGCAGAGTAAATAAGGGTTATCATCAATTATAATCTTACAAAGTGCACATGATAGCTGAAGTTGACTAATTAATGAGGATAATGGAACCTGGAAAATTGAGGACTTAACTGCATTTAGTTCTTGTTAAAAAATTAGACATTTTTTTAGTGTTCTTGTTATAGTTGCTTTTACTGCTCTGATTGACCTCGCTTTTTGTTAGCAATTTGAAACCAGCAATTTGCTTCATTTGAACGGTATGATAATAGCCATTCCATATCAAAATTTTTCAAATGCAATATATTTTGCAAGATATTTAAATGCGTAAATTAGGTACAGCTTTCAAATTTGATTGTTACATGCTAAATCACTATAATTGCCTTTTCTGCACCTGTCTATAATATTAGTTTTCTAGGGACTTGTCTAACTAAGAAGTACCTTGTTGTAGCTACATCAATCTCTGCTTCGAATTTCCGATTGAATGAGAGAGATCAATTATGTTTGAGAGATAGACATTCAGCTTGCTTTGGACACATAAATGAGACGAGCAATTCCGTTTGAATAGATAAATCAACTTTAAACCTGACGCATTTTTTGCCTGTAGGTGACAGGTCCGTTTTAAATCATTTGACAGGAGAAGACCGAGATCTTTAACCAAAGTCACATCTGCTAAGACATTTTTATCGAGATCAAGTGATTTTGGTTTTTTTGACGAAAAGAGATAAAGCTGAGCATTTCTTGGCATTGAAAAATAACAAATTGCTTTTGCTCCAAAATTGAAGGGCCTGAATGTCAGAGATAAGTAAATTAAGTTTTTCTCCTGAAAATATAGTTCCAAGTCGTTGGCAAATAGATAACATGAAGGGAAGATGTTGTTTGGCAGGTCATTTATAAAAATCAAGAATGGCAAAGGACGCATTACAATACCTTAAGGTCTCGATCTTCTTTAGTTGGACGGAATGATTAATTTTATCAAATGCCTTAGCAAAATCAAAAAATAGCATAGTGCACAAAGAATTGATATTTTATCTGTAAACCTGGCCAAGACATGTTAATAATTGTAGTACATGAGATTGTCTGCGAATGAAACCAAACTGGTTTGAAAAACAAATACCTTGGAAAATTGGAAACAAGTAGTTAAACATCAGCTTCTCGAAAGCTTTAGATAACACGTTCAAACGGTAACAGGTCAATAATTAGTGATTTCGCATTTGCTTCCATCTTTGTTAATAGGCGTAATGATACCTGTTTTCCATTCGGATGGAAAGACGAATAACCGACAATTATTGCGAAACAAATTGAACACTGAATGAGTCTCATTAATGAAGAATGAAGAATGAATCTCATTAACAGATTCTTTCAAAACAAGGGGTGGCAAACCGTCAATGCCTCGGCTCTTAGTAGTAACTAAAGACTGGAGTTCAGTATATACTTCAAGTTTGGTAATTACGAATTCCTTGTTAGTAAAGAATCATGAATACGGTGGCAATATTATGGTACCGTTGTCACTTACAGCAGAAGCGAAATATGCTTTGAAAAATTCAGACTTCTCAAAATTGGTAGTGGCTTCCAAATTCCCTCATCTCACGGTACAAGGGAGGTCGTGGCGTCTTAAGCTCTCGAATTATTAAAAAATTTTGTGGGTATTACGAGCTCAAATTAGTTTGGCCTCAAATTCGGCCAAATCATAGTCTTGAAGCTCAATACATTGGGATTCTTTATCGGCTTCTTTTTGCTGGGAGGAAAGGGAAATGTTTTTTGAATGCGAGACCCTAAGCGTATTGAGACGTTTCAATTGATTTGAGGTTGCGGGCGTAATCCAGGGAGCCAAACTTTGCCGATGTCTCGTTCTCAAGGGGGTACTCTTATTTATGCTGTTAAAAAGCCAGGTTCACCTGTTTCTGATCATCACGTTAATATTAGAATCACCAAGATATCAGTAATGTTTCGGCCTTGTTAACTAAAACAAGGTCAAGCAGGTTCGCGGAAGTTGTCTGGAAAGTCACCAGTTGGCGTAAATGGAACTTGTCGCACAGTTCTAAGAACCTCAATTCATAGTCGTCTTCTGAGACGCATGCTTCCCAGTTGACACCTTCTAAGTTAAAATCTCCAGCTATGAGTACGTTAACAATTGAGAGACTGAATACAAACCCGAGCAACTCTTCGAAATCAACATTTTTTAAGCGATAACTGCTCTTCGGGGGTGGGTTGTAAACAGCAGAGTAAATAAGGGTTATCATCAATTATAATCTTACAAAGTGCACATGATAGCTGAAGTTGACTAATTAATGAGGATAATGGAACCTGGAAAATTGAGGACTTAACTGCATTTAGTTCTTGTTAAAAAATTAGACATTTTTTTAGTGTTCTTGTTATAGTTGCTTTTACTGCTCTGATTGACCTCGCTTTTTGTTAGCAATTTGAAACCAGCAATTTGCTTCATTTGAACGGTATGATAATAGCCATTCCATATCAAAATTTTTCAAATGCAATATATTTTGCGAGATATTTAAATGCGTAAATTAGGTACAGCTTTCAAATTTGATTGTTACATGCTAAATCACTATAATTGCCTTTTCTGCACCTGTCTATAATATTAGTTTTCTAGGGACCTGTCTAACTAAGAAGTACCTTGTTGTAGCTACATCAATCTCTGCTTCGAATTTCCGATTGAATGAGAGAGATCAATTATGTTTGAGAGATATGAAGAGAGAGAGAGAGCAAGCGCGCGAGTTCGGGAATGATCAGAATTAGTTTTCCTTTTGTCAATCTTTTACAGCTGTTCCGGCAAGGTCTCTATTTGCAAAATCAATGAAGAAGAGGAATCACCTGTTCAAGTGATAGCGTCTTCGTGCTGGTGTCGATAAATTTTCTCTATGTCGGAAGCTCAGGAAGGAAATTAGATGTGGTGAAAATGTGCCTGAAAATGTGAAAAACCTGTTCTAGGTGTCAGGTTTTTCGGCTTATTGTTTTTTCTTTTTTTTGGCATGATATGTTTCGGCCTATTGCCCTCAAATTGCGTCTTTCGGCGACTGAAAAAAGTTTCTGTGTGCGTGTCTGTGTGTTGAGGCTGAGAGGGACTCATTGACTTCTCATAATTTTTTTCGCCTCTTTTTTCTTTTTTTAGGCTTAAAAGATTTCAGCTTGTTTGAATTGGCAATCAAAATAAGATTTTTCTTGGAGTATTTTGAGAATGAGCGGAACGTATCAAATCAGCTTAGTGACCTCGTATATTTTCATTTGACAAGCAAATAAAGTTTTTTGAGAGAAAATTTTTCGTAAATCTTGTTTTCGGCTTAAAGGGTTTCTGACAAAAATTTTTCCGAGTTGTTACTGCAGGGTACTTTCTTTTGATGCTTAGTTCACAGTCAATTGTCTATGCATGTTTTTGTTTCGAAACTAGGCGTAATCATTTGATGACGTTTTGGAAATTTTTCTTGTTCTGTATTCCAAGTGTTCCCAAGCTAAGTTTCTCATCCGTTATTAATTTTGTGTGAAGCATTTCACTTTCGGAATTTTAATTTCGGCTTCTATTGTGACTGATTCCATTTTGTCATCAATAAACGTGTTTGAAGCAGTTCAATTTGGGATTTCCATCTATTTCCGTGATGGGACCCGGTTATTTTTAAGAACCCGTCTATGTTCTACTTAGTACTACTACTATGATAGACCATAGAGGGGTCCATATAAATAACTGGATCGAATATTGTTAATTAATACGAAAGTAAGACGCGATAGTTTCTTTTTTCAAACAAATTTAAGTTTCATTTAAAATACTTTTTTAAAGATATTTAATTGCGTAAGTTATGCACAGCTTTGAATTTTGATCATTACATGCTAAATTAGTATAATTGCCTTTTCGGCAACCCGTCTCTAATATTAGTTTTCAAGGGACCTGTATAACTAAGAAGTACCTTTGACTTGTTGTTGTAGCTGCATCGATCTCTGCTTCGAATTTCCGATTGAATGGGAGATATCGATTATGTTTGAGAGATGAAGAGAGAGAGAGAGAGAGAGCGAGCGCGCGCGAGCTCGGGAATTATCAGATTTTGTTTTCCTTTTTCAATCTGTTACAGCTGTTCCCCCAAGGTCTCTAGTGGCAAAATCAATGTAGAAGAGCAATCACCTGTTCAAGTGATAGTGTGTTCGTGCTGGTGTCGATAAATTTTCTCTATGATTGAAGCTCAGGAAGGAAATTAGATGTGGTGAAAATGTGCCTGTTTTAAGTGTCAGGTTTTTTTCGGCTTATTGTTTTTTTGGCTTGATATGTTTCGGCCTATTGCCCTCAAATTGCGTCTTACGACGACTGAAAAAAGTTTCTGTGTGCGTGTCTGTGTGTTGAGGGTGAGAGGGACTCATTGATTTCTTATGATTTTTTCCGCTTTTTTTTGTTTTCTTTTTTTAGGCTTATTAGGTTTCAGCTTAGTGGCCTCATATTGTTTCAATTGACGAGCAAAATAAAGTTTTTCTTCGGGTATTTTGAGAATGAGCGGGACGTATTAAATCAGCTTAGTGCCCTCGTATTGTTTCATGTGACAAGCAAATAAAGTTTTTTGTGAGAAAATTTTTCGTAAATTTTGATTGTTTTCGGCTTTAAGGGTTTCTGACAAAATTTTTTCCGAGTTGTTACTGCTGGGTACTTTCTTTTGATGCTTATTTCACAGTCTATTGTCTATGCATGTTTTTGTTTCGAAACTAGGCGTAATCATTTGATGACGTTTTGGAAATTTTTCTTGTTCTGTATTCCAAGTGTTCCGAAGCTCAGTTTCTCATCCGTTATTAATTTTGTGTGAAGCATTTCACTTTCGGAATTTTAATTTCGGCTTCTATTGTGACTGATTCCATTTTGTCATCAATAAACGTGTTTGAAGCAGTTCAATTTGAGATTTCCATCTATTTCCGTGATGGGACCCGGTTATTTTTAAGAACCCGTCTATGTTCTACTTAGTACTACTACTATAATAGACCATAGAGGGGTCCATATAAATAACTGGATCGAATATTGTTAATTAATACGAAAGTAAGACGCGATAGTTTCTTTTTTCAAACAAACTTGAGTTTCATTTAAAATACTTTTTTAAAGATATTTAATTGCGTAAGTTATGCACAGCTTTGAAATTTGATCATTACATGCTAAATTAGTATAATTGCCTTTTCGGCAACCCGTCTATAATATTAGTTTTCAAGGGACCTGTATAACTAAGAAGTACCTTTGACTTGTTGTTGTAGCTGCATCGATCTCTGCTTCGAATTATTGATTGAATGGGAGATATCGATTATGTTTGAGAGATGAAGAGAGAGAGAGAGAGAGCGAGCGCGCGCGCGCGAGTTCGGGAATTATCAGAATTTGTTTTCCTTTTGTCAATCTATCACAGCTGTTCCCCCAAGGTCTCTAGTGGGAAAATCAGTGTAGAAGAGCAATCACCTGTTCAAGTGATAGTGTCTTCGTGCTAGTGTTGATAAATTTTCTCTATGGTTGAAGCTCAGGAAGGAAATTAGATGTGGTGAAAATGTCCCTGTTTTAAGTGTCAGGTTTTTTTTCGACTTTTTGTTTTTTCTTTTTTTTTGGTTTAATATGTTTCGGCCTATTGCCCTCAAATTGCGTCTTACGACGACTGAAAAAAGTTTCTGTGTGCGTGTCTGTGTGTTGAGGTTGAGAGGGACTCATTGATTTCTTAAGATTTTTCCTCCTTTTTTTGTTTTCTTTTTTTTAGGCTTATTAGGTTTCAGCTTAGTGGCCTCGTATTGTTTCATGTGACGAGCAAATAAAGTTTTTTGACAGTAAGCTTTTCGTAAATTTTGATTTTTTTCCGGCTTAAAGGGTTTCTGACAAAATATTTTCATAGTTGTTACTGTTGGGTACTTTATCTTTTGATGCCTATTTCACAGTCTATTGTCTATGCATGTTTTTTCTTCAAAACTAGCCGTAATCATTTGATGACATTTTAGAAATTTTTGTGGTTCTGTATTCCAAGTGTTCCGAAGCTCAGTTTCTCATCTGTGTTATTAATTTTAAGGACCCGTCTATGTTCTACTTAGTGCTACTACTATGATAGACCATAGAGGGGTCCATATAAATAACTGGATTGCATGACAGAAATATCGGGCCGAATATTGTTAATTAATACGAAGGTAAGACTGTTCTCCAATAAGCAATAATTTCTTTTTTAAATAAATTTGAGTTCCAACTTAAATGGCGTTCTTTTTTTTGCGAACTCGTGAAAATAATTTCCCCGTCTGAAGGTAGAATGATTAAAATTTTCTGCTCAGTTGAAATTTGACTACTCATAAGGCAACTTTGTTGATCATTTTAAGATCATAAACAAAATTGAAACCAGCAATTTGCTTCATTTAAACGGTATGATAATAGCCATTCCATATCAAGATTCCATTTGTTGTTTTGTATCGCAAGTGTTGCGAAACTCCGTTCCACATCTGCGTCGAAACTGGTTGTTAATTTCAAAGTATTATCTGTTTTTTGAGGTCCGTGTGCATAAACAGCTTAATGATTTTTTCATAAAGTACATAATTTGTTTCCTTTTGACGGTTGGCTTGGATTTATAAGCTTCGATATTGGAAGTTGGGTTTTTTCAAAATCATTTCCCAGCGGGCGCATTACTAACGGATTATGAGATTCACTTATTGAAGCTGAATTTCGAAACAAAAAATGGAAAGTTGTTTTTTGAAACATGTTTGAAATCTAAGAATCCTTTTTTACAGAACTGGAAACTGGGTTGAATTGCTGAAATCTTTTATTTGCAGGAAAGTTCGACTGGACTTCAAGCGAACAGGCATCTGTCCTGGGTGCATTTTATTATGGCTACATGATTACCCAAATTCCTTCCGGGTTATTTTTAAACCACTACAAAGGAGAAGGTGGGAAACTGCTCTACGGAATGGGGATCTTGTTGACAGGGTTGTTTACATTGCTTTCCCCACTAGCCTCGTATGGAGGAGTTGGGTGGCTGATAGGATTGCGTGTTCTGGAAGGAGTCACAGAGGCTGCTACATTCCCAGCTTTCAATCACATGATGGGCAAGTGGGTTCCCAAATACGAGCGCAGTTTCTTCTCCGCATTCGCCGCCTCCGGTGGAACCTTTGGTAATGTGCTCACAAACCCAATTGTAGGATATCTGTGTTCGCTATCTCTCTTGGACGGATGGCCTCTAGGCAAGTACACTACAGGGATTTGAAGCTAGTTTTTAATCAGAATATATTGATCATCCCTGTGGCTTTGAACCTAAGCCATTTGTTGAACGTTGCCATTTTTTCCCACGTCCCGTTCAATCCAAGTTACAGAACGTTGAAAAGTTTTTTCCTTTAGGCTTCTATGTGAACGGTGCTCTGGCTGTCATTTGGTACGCAATGTGGTGCATTCTGATTTCCGAGAAGCCAGAAACTCACCCAAGAATATCTCAGGAAGAAATGGAACATATCAAGTCGAATACTTCTCAGCGCTGTAGTAACGAATTGGAAATTGTTCCGTGGTACGAGATATAACAAAGATTAATTGATACTATTCAATGATTAGTAGGTTAAGAAATTTGCAGGTCGACTGATTTCAATCTGCTGAAGTTTGATAATTAGGATCTCTTTTACTACCCCCCTCTGGTACCTAGTAACGAATTGGCACCCCTATAACGAGTTTTGTACCTACTAACCAATCTCCCCCTTTTGCAAAAAGGGGAGAATAGTTGAAGAGAGCGATAATTGTAGGCCTTAAAATCAAAATTGCATCTGAGTTATCACGCTCTCGTATGATGTTTGGTGTTTTTTTATTAAGAGTAATGAACGTAGTGAAGACTCTTATATAGGTCATGGTGATTTTTTTGTTTTTTTCTCAGGATGCTCTAATAACTACAGATGTGCATTCATACTTTTTCATGCATTTATGAATGTACTTAGGTATATATGCACTTTTTGATTTCAATTGAAATGCATCTGCTGAAAGTTACGTAATTATTGGCACTCTCCTAATACGAACGTGGAATTGGCGCAAAAAATGTGAACGATTTCTAGTTTCCAAAGTGGAATGTAAATTTTAGGTTCCCAGCGAAATAAAAACTTTACTTATTGATTCAATTTTCTCAAGTTGGGTTAATGATATCGGAGAAGTGCCAATCATAAATTGTTCTAGAAATTCAAAGAGCTTAAAGGGCGTCTATTTTTTTGAAATTCGAAAGTTTAGATTTTTTCAACAACGTCAATTTTTTTTGTTAACCTGCGTTCAATACTCTTTTCCAATTGTCTCTTGGCTATGTTCATTAATACCATTTCAATGGTAAGTTCAAAGATTTTTCGTTGGACCACAAATCAAATTAACGTCTTTACACATTCGAAGCGTAAAGCATTATTACGTAGATTTTTTTCCAACCCAAGTCGCAAATAAAAGTACTCAATTGGGTGACATTTTTGGTATCTTTCAATTTAATTATAATTAGGCTTATTTGAGCATAAACAATTTAATGGAATGTGTTGCTGCTTTGTTTTTTGCTAGTTTTAGGCCCTATTTAAAAAAAATAGTATTTTAAAAAATGTATAGAATTAGTTGTTTTTTCGTTTTTTTTGCAACGCTTTGGAGATTTTTTTAACCCTTTTAGCAGAAATTTCAATTTTCTCAAAAAGTTTTGAGCGATTTTCAAAAAAAAAATGGTATCAATGGAAAAACCGGCTGCTCTTCAATGTGCCTGAAAGTTTCAGTAGGGGGATTTTGGCTTGCTTATTTTGAATTTTTTGATTTTCTCAAATATTAATTGCCCAAATCAGAGATGAAGCTTACAATCAAAAGATCAAATTGTGGGATAACTCTTCTCAAGCGGCTATTGCCTAAAATTGGTAGAAAAAAGTTATGTCCTCAAGCAAGCCCATTTTTTGACATTTTGCTCAATTTTCAAAACGGAGATTGGGTGTTATCGAAATCAGTTATCCGAATCGTACCTGCGCAAGCGGCTATGCCCTGCCTTTTGTAAAAAACTATGACCTTAGAAATTATCCAATTTTTGAAATTTCGCCCGTTTTTTGCAGATTTATTTTTTTTCAAAAACTAATTGGTTGAATCTGAAGTTAATAGTTCATTAAAACTAACATGGCGTTCGAATTTTGCCTGCTTTATCTGTCTAACCTGTTTTTTAAGCTGTTATTGACATCGGAAAAATTCCTTTTTAAATTCTTAGAAAATTTGTCTTAATTCTCGAAAACTACTAGTTAAATCTGATATTAAGGAATCAATCTACAAAATCAAGGCGCGGAAATCTTCGATTCAGAATTCATGGTGTGGATAGCAGAGGATATTCCTATGAATTAGTAGAGAAAAATTTATGGATGTAGGAATAGTTGATCGATTTGGGAATCCTTTCACTTTTTTCCGAAAGCTACCCAGCCAATTCTGACAAAAGAATTCAATTGAAAGAACGAATACTAGTGTTCTTTTTTAAATAAACCAAGAATCCCCTGCTAGAGCAGAGAAACACGCTAGAGTTTACGCTAGGGTTTAGCGTAAAGTCCATTTATTGAAACTTTGAAAATTACGCATTTCCATATAAGTACGATATATGTTTAACAATATTAGAAAAGGTAGATTTAGCATTAACTGGGCCGCTAGTTCACTTGCAAGTGACTTTGGCGCAGATGCGAGGACGTGAGATTGCTAATCAACAGGTCAGGTATTCATATCGAGAATTTTTAAATATTTTTTTTTGGTCGAATTTTTTGCTTCTTTACATTGGCAGTTTAATAGAAACTGTAGCTCCTTATTGGTAGCTAGTGTTAGTAAAATTACAAGCTGTTGTGGAGCAGATGTTATAACGTGATACATTTCAACAAAAAAAATTTTAATGATTTTTAAAAGCTTTTCCTTGTTTCATTTTGTTTTGCCTGTTTGGAGCTCACTTTTGCATTTTCTTCGCTTGTTTGCGAAGCGCAGCTTCGCCTCTGCGTTAAATTTTAGTTTCGCCCAGACTTGAAATCTCGTGTGTGCTCTTCAGGTTATTGTTTTCTGTTCATTGAAGTGCTTCCGGTTATTGTTTTTGGTTCATTAAAGTGCCTACAAAGAAGGAAGTCTGTATCATGTTTTGTTTCAGGAAATCCATATTAACCAGTCGTGCCTTCTATGGTCTGCTTACGTGCCACGTGTGCTGCAACTTCACAAACTACGGTTTGATGTCTTGTCTGCCTCAATACTTGTCCAACGTGCTCAACTTTGACATATCCTCAAATGGGTTCCTAAGTGCCTTGCCCTGGCTTTGTTGCTGGATATCTATTCAGCTATTCTCCACTATCACTGATGTTGTCAGACGTCACAACTGCTTGTCTACTACTGTCGTTCGTAAAGTCAACGCTTTCGTCGGCACCGTGTTTCCTGGACTTTTCCTGATTCTGGCCGGATATGCTGGCTGCAATGCGACACTGGCAGTTTGTTTCATTGTTATAGCAATGTTTTTCTTCGGAGCCAACTGGTCTGGATTCAATTGCAACAATCTTGACATAGCTCCTAACTTGGCAGGTGTTTTATTTGCTATAACCAATACCTTTGCCACCATCCCAGGGTTTGTTGCTCCACTTGTCGTGGGTTGGATCACAGCTGATAACGTGCACAGTGAAAAACTGTGGCGATATGCCTTTTTCACATTCGCTTCAGTCAGCTGGTTTGGTGGCCTAGTGTTTATTCTGTTTGCGTCCGGTGAATTGCAACCGTGGGCGGCTGGCATAAATTCTGACAACATAGATAATGATTGCAGGGACTTGATCAACCAAAGCGATCATGACGTGGCAATTGATACGGAATCGTCTTAGTGACATTTGAGCTATTCAATTTTCACTGCTCTCATAACGCTGCTACAGCGCGCAATAAAAATGCTGCTATTTAATTCTCATCATAGATTAGAAATACAGATAGATGATGCATACAGATCGAATGTATATTTTTCTTTAAAAATCTGTTAATCAAGTTTTTGCTATTGACGAGGTCATGATTTTAAATGAGAACAGTAGTGTTTCTATTTGAGCATGGCATAAAATTTAGCCGCCAAAACAACTAGAAATTTTGATTTCAACCGTGAAAAAACTCGTGTTGTTTTCGAGTTAAAACTACTAAAAATCATTATTCAACTTATTTCGAACTTCGCTATATGATAAGACAGCTCTTTCATGGAATTATTTGATCGATAACAATTTTTATGCGACCACGTTCAGAGATTGACAAGGAATGATGGCATGGGTTTGTTGATGCGTCATTTTAAGATCTCAAAGAAAGCTTGTTGTGATATTTCAGTTACCCCAAGCTTATAAAGACCTTTGAGTAGTGGCTGTTCGGATTTCAAAAAAGATATGGATTCAAAAAATTCAAAAACTCTGTGTCAAAAAAAGCATGTAGGTGTTTTTGGCTCTACATTTACCGAAGAATGAAAGAACATTGCTCTTCGTTCTCAACTTCTTAATTGAATCCCTTTCAGTTTTCATATGCGGAAGGGAAATTAGAACGTTTCAAAAGCGTCTTTTAAACTTGAAAAAGAAACGTGTTGTCCAACTTGCAGAGAGATCGGCTGCTCGTCAATAAACTCTTCAGGTCGTGATGATTCTGGAATGCCTTATATTTGTGTTCACCCTCAAATTAATTTTTCGCGACTTGATGTTTGATTTCTTTTTAGAGTTCAGATCAATTTTTGTTGAGAGGATGACAAACTTCATTATCGAACAGCAAAGAGGTAAAGGTCACAAAAAACGTGATTGAGTTAACTTGTTCAGATTTCCAAGCCAGTTTTTTCTAAGTGAATTAATTTTCTCATGTTTTCTGTGTTTATGTTGCTGTTGAAAGTTATTGGCTTTTCCGCGTGTATGCATAATTCTGTGGAGCTTCTATAAAGAAATCAATTTTTTTCCTACTTGCATATTAGTTATCATTAAAAATAACTAATATGCAATTAGGAAAAAAAATTGATTTCTGATTCATGAAAAATTTTGGCCGCGTTTTTTAGACCCTGAACTAATCAGGATGAGGAGGAGGTCATCGACAGAGAAACTTTCTAATATATATTCTAGATATATAATTTTGTTTGTTATTACGCTCTAGTTAATAACTTGACTAACTGCATCATTTCGTGACTACGAACATCTTCCATTCAACAGGCAGTTCCTACCATTTTGTACGAGGTCCGTTCTATTTACACTTGCGGTTAGCAAGCAATTTAAACGAAACAGATTTTTTCCCCGGTAAACAGTTTGTCTAACAGAATAACTGAAATATTTTTCATGTCTGTACTGTCGGCAAATAGCAGACACAGTTAGAGCAAGGAAGTTAAAATATCAGTTTTTTCGAATTTAATTTTTACATGTTTGTAAATTTACCTACTCCGATTTGATTTTGTTTTGGTTTTAGCCTATGTGTTTTTGGTTTAGTGGTCGGTCTCATCTTGGGACGGTTGATGTAGGACGTTTTTGAAATGCCTATGTGTTTTGAGTGTGGGGGATGAAAAATATTTTTTTTTGGTGTTTTTATGAAAACGACTTTTTGGCTCAATTATGGCTGCTCATGTAGTGTGGGCTTTGTTACTGCTTTGTAACTTTTGTTTCGATGCCAATTAAACATTCAGTTGTCCTACTTGGTATGTTTGTTTCAAAATGAACTTTATTTAGGATAAATCAGGCTAAACATAAAAATTTTGATAGATCCAATCTTTTCGGCACATTAAAGAATTACCCATCATTTTTTTCGGCTCTTTTGTTGTCATATATTTGTTGCATCGCAAGTGAGCAAATCTTCACTTAACCTCTTGTTTTAAATGTTGTTTCTCATGTTGGTTGTAAACCAGCTCTGATTTTATATGACTTCCCTTCTATGTTTTTGTTCGCTTAAAAGATGGCTTCTAAGATTTCGGCATCTGTAGTTGCTGTCCCATGTAGCGTTGTTTGAAGGCAGAAAATAGATATTGCTTCGGGGGGAGGTTATGCGAAACTTGGGGAACCCAGAAAACATCGAATTTGTGTTTCCTTACCTTTCTGAACGGCTGAAGGTGCAATTAAACAAGTAGTTTTGGCTTAGTTACCGCTTTGTATTATTGTTCCAACTTTCGAAGAAGGTAAAGAATGTATATGCTCGGGGTTGGTTTTTATTTAGACCAAATCTCAAAAATATTTCCCTCTGGTATCGATCCATTGATCTTGGTGGTCTCAGTAGCGATGCGCTCACCACTAGACTATCCTGACTTAAAGCTTGCAGTGAAACGCTCATGAATAGACAGACTATCCTGACTTAAAGCTTGCAGTGAAACGCTCATGAATAGACTAACCCTGATACGAGCTCTGCCCTTACACGAACAGTCTTGTTTGTTTAAATACTAGCTTAAAGCTGGAAATGGTTTTCTCGTCATGTTTTCCTCAAACTGAATTTTATTTGAGACAAACATTTGAACAATTTGGTAGATGTAGTTTTCGATATTTTTCGAAGGGTTTTTTTACTAGTGGATTTTGTCTCGTTTTTTTTCGGCCCGCTTCGCCGCTGAGTTTACGAAGACTTTAAAATGCTACTAACTTTCTATAGCTGTTGTAGGTTGAATGTCAAAAGTAGCCCTTAAGCTCAAATCTCTGCTAAATTTGAAAACATGCGACCTTTTCACTGCTGATCAAATAAAAGATATTTGACTTCGTAATGTGACTATCTATCCTGTAACGCGCAGAACAATCACAAAGGTAATAGCAAAGTTTTTTGATCGAAAATCTAAAATACATGAGTTATCATGAAGGCCTGCCCTATCTCTCATTGCCAAAAGGTAGTCATGCCAAAAATTTGTTGCCAAAAGGTGGAATCGAATCGATTGATATTGATAACAGTTTAGAGCTTTCAGCTTGAGTTTCAGAAAAATGAGGATACTGATTTAGAGAGAATGTCAGATCGTGAAGAATCCCCAATAACTGCAGAAGAGTCTTCTGATGGAGCATTAAAAGAAGCTGCACAATGCTATTGCAAAGGTCCACGAGAGCTCGGCACAATTGAGCTGCAGTGTATGTCATGTCTCAAGTGGCATCACTTGAAATGTCTGAACATAACAGAGAGTGACACAGGGCCCACCATACCCTTCATGAACTCATATGCTTTCCACTGTAAAGTATGCAGTCCCACAAAGTGCGAAGGTTTTCTGAAGAAACCTGCAACATTTGTGCAAATGCTGCAGAGTACTTTCGCGAACCTGTTACACTTCCAACAGGACAAAGAAAACGACAAAACATCAGAGAAAGATAAGGATAAGGACTCTAAAAGTGACGTGCCTGTGTTTTCCAAAGACAAGGAAATCATCCCATTTATCGAGAAAAATTGGGAGGCACTAACATTGGCGTCTAGAAAAACGAAAAGCACGTGGCATGCCACTGTGACAAAAACACTCGGCCAGAATCCTACAATATTTTATTCTCATTTGTCTGTAGATGGCACTCGCACCATGTATGGAATGCTGGACACAGATGTGTGCAATGTATGTCCGAATTACGAGGCGGCCAAACAGCAGGGGGCTTCTTCGGGAAGCGGAAACAACGCTAATACTAAACAGTCTAAAAATTTGAAGCGCAAAGCTGGATCAGTGGGACTCGGAGGCAATAATGGTGGCTCAGGTGCTGCTAATGGAGGAAGTTCCGACAGTAAGAGGAGTCGGACAGACGCGAATAGTACAGGGATGAAAATTCAGTTGCCTTTCCATGGTCACCCGGCAGACCACCCATTCAACAAGGACGAGTGGTGTTATGAGTTTGCAGAGAAAGATCCCTACGCGGAGAAAGAGGACGACGACGAATACGATGCCTCTAAACTGATCCCACCATACTCCTACAGGAAAGCCATGTCATCAATGGTGTACCTATCTATGAGTGACAGGGCTCCTCAGTTGAAATTGGCTAACAACCGGCTTACTGTCAGTGGAGAGAAAGGATACTGTCTCATTAAGGCGTCCCATTCTATGTACAAAGATTGCTATTACTTCGAGGCCACAATTGACGCCATGCCAGACAATTCCGCCTGTAGGATCGGCTGGGCACAACAGTTTGCGAACAACCAAGCCCCTCTCGGCTACGACTCATTCGGTTACTCGTACAGAAGCAGAAAGGGAACCAGATTTCACAAGAGTTTGGGAAATAGTTACGGCCAAGGATATACACAAGGAGATACAGTTGGAGCCATGATCCAGCTCCCCGCTAGTCAGTTGTTTCTACCTGAATGCTTTAAAGACAAACCTCTGATCAAATTCAAAAATTTTCTCTATTACGAGCGGAAGCGAGATTCGAAGCAACAGGAATCACAGCTGAAAGTTCAGCCGAGCAGTAAAATCAGTTTTTTCAAGAACGGACAGTTTCAAGGAGTGGCATTCAGCGATATCTACAGTGGAAATTATTATCCAGCTGTGTCTCTGTTTAAAAACTGTACCGTGACTTTCAATTTTGGCCCTTCCTTTACCTGCATGCCCTCACCCGAAACATCCAACTACTTGCCCTTCAGTGAGCGAGCTATTTCAGAAATGAACGAGCAGCAAATAAGCGATCTGTTGTACCTCATCGAAAACGACCGCGTTGCTGTTCAAATAAATGACTGATCTATTTTAAAATTTCCTTCATTCGATCAGTACTCCATTTTTGATCCGGCAAAACATTCAAATATTAATGAGTCTATCGTTTTGTTTATCATTCAGTGTGCTTTTACGCAGGGCTGGTCAATAAAAAACAGGGGTTGTTTTAAACAGTGTTTAAAACTGTTTTAAACACTGTTTAAAACATGACTCAATTTTAGTGTTTTAAACAGTGTTTCATGTTTCGACTGCGAGGGCGCAATTATTACGCAATTTAACTGGCAGCTGTTACTTGATTCATCCAAATTAACACGTACAGTGCAGTTCTTTCAACAAGCTATCAAGTGCGCATTTGCCATGCAAGTTTTGCTGACATTATGCAGGCTTTGAGCGTGCGTTCAGCACAATGGGGTATGTGGAAGGGGACCTCAGGAACAGCCTTTCCTCAGAGAAAACTGAGAAACTAGCATTTTGTATGCGTTGCTTGAAAAAATAAATTCTTGCAAAAAAAACATGTTTTAAACTGTTTAAAACGTTTAAAACAGTTTTAAACGTTTTTTTAAAAAAAAAACATATTTTGACCAGCCCTGCTTTTACGTAATGAAGACACTTAAGTATAAAGGTCGTGATCATTTTTTTTTCAGGGAAAATGATTTAAAATTTGATCACAATCAAATTTGATTTCTGGCGTTTTGGCTTCGATTATTTTTCAGTGTTGAGAAAAATAATAAATTAGTGTTGAGAGCTTCAGCATGAATGATTTTTTTTTTCGTAATTCGAAAGTTTAATAAAAATGGATAGTTTCACTTGGGTCTGACCTCATTGTCACTTATTTAAATGCTTGTTGGCTGTTTTGAGATTTTGATGAATAAAGGCAGACAATTTCATTCCGTCTTTAATTCAAACTGATTGAATCTATAAAACCGTATAGTCTTCAAGAAAAGTCAGAAAAAGTTATCGAAAACGAATCTATCAGGTTCTTTCTCAAAACTAATTTAAAGTGTTCATCGATCCCAGGCTTCGACTGAGTTGCTCATTTGATTTTAAGATTCTCAAATGGTTAAACTGTTTGTTGGAAGTATTCTGCCGACGAAAGTGAGAGACGTCGATCTAAGAAGAGAATTTGAGCGATATGGGCGGGTAAAAGAAGCATGTGTGTTGAAGAATTACGGCTTTGTTCACATGGCGTACAAAGAAGATGCAGAGAGAGCTATCAAGTATTTGAATAGAAAGACGCTCAATGGCTGCCAAATGGCAGTCATGTATTCGGAAACCGCTGATTACGGCAAGCGAGACCGACCAGATGCGGGTTATCGTGGAGGCTATGGAGGCGAAGGAGGTGGCCGTGGATACTATGGCGGCCCCAGTCGCGGTGGAGGTCAGGGATATGGTGGCGGCGGCGGTGGTGGTGGTCGTGACGGTGGTGGGTATTATGACAGCAGAGATCGATACCCTCGTGAGCGTGGAGGCGGTGGTGGTGGTGGTGGTTATCGGTCGCGCTCTCGATCCAGAAGCAGACACGGTTACGATCAACGAAGACAAGACTCCTATCAGTATCCCAGTCAGAGATCGTCTCAGCACTATCAACCGCATTATCCGCCGCGTCGTGAACCAGCTCCTCGATATTCCAGATCGCGAACACGGTCGCCGCCGCCTGTGGAGAAGCCACGTCGTAGAATGACCAGATCGAGGTCTAGATCATACGAGGTGCAGCATCGTCCAGTGCGAGAAACAGCAGGCGGAGTGCGAGAGAGATTAGGGAAGCACGGAGGAGCTGTGCCTGCTGCGAGTGCGAGGTCCAGAACCAGGAGTAGAAGTTTGCAGCCGAAGGCTGTTGTTCACCGAGAGAGCAGAAGTGGGAAGTCACACCAGGCCCCGGCAGAGTACGAGCCAGTTTCGAGAAGTCCATCGCGAGAGTCAGTCGAGAGGTCTCGCCCTCATAGGAAATAAAACAGCAATCTACCAAACGGACAATTTTAGTACGGTGAACTTTCTTTTATAAGCTATTAACTCTTTCCTTGTTAATCAAAGTATTTTCTGGCTAAAAAGCAGAATGATCTTGAAACACCAAATATTGAGTTTTAACAATATCGATCCCACATAGACCGCAAAAAGTTTGTGTTTTGGTTTTCAAACATAGCTGAAAGTTAAGTAGATGGGTCAAACTTGGCTTGAGAAACATAGCCTGCAAAAATTCGGCCTAAAATAAATAGCCGAAACCTTTCTACTGTTCTTAAGCATGAACGAGATGATAGGCATAAAAATTGAATCATAATTGATGATCTAATTACGCTTACGATTAGTGTTATTTTCTGCTCGGTAGCTAGAATTTAATGATTATTTCTTGACATTAAGTTCATTAGATACCTGTATGAATTAACTTTCATTTGATAACATCGTGTCTCATTTTAGAAAATCGTTCAACGGGGCGATTAAAATGAGCGAGTGATATTTCGAACTTGCGAGTGATTGATTGATGCGTTACGGTGAATTAGTGTTTGCGCGTTTTGCGATGCGAGTTTAGTTTGCGATGGTTCACTTGTAATAAACCGAGTTATTATAATACTTGCAGCACTTGTCGCTATAACGAAACCAGGCGCAAGAGAAGCGATTCTTTAGAAAAGTGGGAAGAGACATTGTGATCAGTCTTTAGACTTCAGCGAAAGGTAATGCTCTCGAATCCTTCTTTGATATACGAATAGACAACGATTAAGTTAAAAAGTGACAATAAACAATCATTGGAATGCAAAAAGTTGAAAAGAAAAACGACCGGTCATGGCATTGTTTGATATGCGCTTTTCGAAACAGCAAATTAACAGTTTGATCTAAGTAGCAACCAGATACAGGGAGCTTTTAGTCGACCGATGACTCGTCATCTCTTCTGTGTGGACGAAAACGTGTCATTTTAACTGCGAGGGCTCATGTTTGTCAAACCTAGCTATTTCTTCCAACAGTATTTCCGGTAAAGTGAAGTTTTCATTTTCTATTTTGAAAGAGTTCTTTACTTGGCAGATTCAAGTTGAATTGCTGGATAGCTCTTTGTTATACTTGGATCAGTATTTGTAATTTATTTCATTTCAGAGACAATTTTTTTTCGCAAAAGTGTAAAATTTGATTTTTTGAACAACATTGCGTCTGTCAGAGTAATGTTTATTACCCTTGTGATAGCAAGGGTATTGCAATCAGGTAGTAGGCTTTTTTCCCGTAAACAACTTTGTCCACAATTTTGGTACCTTGGTTCATTGCTAATTCAAGCTTTTTAGTGCATCTTGCCCACTTAGCATGGTGGTAACGAATACGCCGGGGACGGCAAAGGTCATGGGTTGGAATAAGGGTTTGAAAAAAATTTCGGCCTCTTATTTGTCTGCTTCTGTTTTGTCGGCTTAGTTGCCGCATCTAAGAATCGTTTATTTTAGCTGTATTCAGTTACTGCAATTATTTCCGGCATTTTAAAAATCCGGCCGAATAGAAATTTGCTTTTCAATTTGTAATTTTACCAGCTCGATTTGTTGTAATCTTTATTATGCAAAATTATATTATGCATAAGAGATCTCAATTTTAATACATGCTTTGCTCAAGTACTCAAAATTACCACCTATTGTAACATCACCCTTTATTTTTGCTCCAACCACCCCATAGGTCGTTTTTATCCCACTGAAATTTGACAACCTGAAAGAAAGCTTTAAGCGGTCAAAGGAGATATCGTATTGAAGTTATTCCAGTCGTGACTCGAATTCTTTAAAATCATAAAAATTATCGCAGTGTAGAAAACTGGTCTGATTTTTTTAAACATTCAGACTCAAACTTCACACTGGTCCTTTCAACGAGGAACGAGTTTGTACTTTAAAATTGTAAATAATTGGTCAATTTATGGTAACTGCATGGTATAATCTGTGTACTCACATGAAAAAAAAAGTTTCGTTCGAAAAGATCGAAACTCGTTTTTTTTGCAATTCTTTTTGAGCCTTAATAACTGGTCAGAACAGTTTGTGCTAATTTCAGGTAAATTTGTTGCTGTTGTTCTGTTTCATGCTTTTGATTTTACATGCGAGAGCTAGTGAACTTCTAATCATGAACTGGGCTTTTTCCATAAAGCAACTTTTCTTACAAATCTAGGAAATTGACCTCGCTTCATTATGAAACCGAAGGTTAAGGTCCCAGTTGGAACTTTTTGTGTAAAAAAGATGTTAAGGGGAAAATTCGAATGGTCGGCTATCGTTTGTCTTTTTTGTACGCTTACTCTCCGAGTCATCGAATCTATTTTCTCTCTCTATTTTTTGTATTATTGTACTGAACCAAAACAACTTGTTCTTTAAATTTTTGTTGACAGTGCTTTTAAAATGTTCCATTTTCCCCTTTAAGGATGAAATAGATTGAGTCAAAATTACCATTTTTTGTGATATTTTGGTTCCGATTTTTGGAGAATAAATTTGTGTAAAATCTTTGTGATATTTTGGTTCCGGTTTTGTCAGAATAATTTGCACAAAAATGAAAAAAAAACGCTTTAAAACATTTTTAAAGACTGTATTCAAATGGATGCAGATTTTTCAATTAAGATAAATTTTACATAAAAAAATTATTTTCTGTCTGAATAGTTAACTGATGTTTTCTTTTATTTTCGTTTGATTATTTCTTTGTGGAAAGCGTTTTGTGTAAGGAAAACTTCAGGAATATTCGGACTGTCTCCCCTACGTATAGAGTTTTGTTTTGATTCAAGTAACTTCAACTATAATTGAATTTCGCTCTGCTTTTTTTAAATTTACCAACTCTGATTTTCTTTATTTTTATTTCTTTCTCTCGGAAATGGTTTCCGCATATGTTCTATCAACTTAGTCACTTATATGGCGTTTTTTGAAATTTAAAATGGTGTTTATGCTTTTGTGTGTTTCAAGAGGTAGGGTAGGTAAAATCTTAGTCGATCCTAAGGTTTTACCTTCCATACCTGTCTGAATAAGGTTGTTCTTTAAGTTTTTATTGACCGTGTTTTTGAAATGTTCATTTTTCCCCGTTAGGATGAACTAAGTCGAGCCAAAACTGCCCTTTTTTGGTTCCGGATTTTGCAGAGTAATTTGCATGAAAAATGAAAAAAAACCGCTTTAAAAAATTTTGAAATACGCTATTCAAATGGATGCAGATTTTCCCATTAGGTTAAATTTTCAAAAATTTGGCTCACAATTTTTCAAGACACCAATTTTGTTTTCGGCTCAGCGGGCGACTACCTGAGTATGCCCGGCTTAGTTGCTGCTCGGTACAGGATTCTGAGTACCTTTTCAATGTTAGTGATTGTGTTTCTCGTTATGTTTTCCTAAATTGAATATCATACAAAACAAACTTATGAAATGTAGTTTTTTTTCCACCTTTTTGATATAATTTTTCGACGTAGTGGCTCTTAGATTTTTGGTTTCAAAGTGAAATTAAATTCAAAGATTTCCAAGCGGCATGAAGGTTAAGTTCTTTATTGGTTCAGTTTTGTCAAATTGGTTTAGTTTTATGCGAAAAATGACAATCATAAAGGATCCTATACCTTTCTTTTAAAATAATTCGAAGAATAAGTCGTTTTTCGGTTTTCTTGAGTTCATCGGTATATTCAACCGTTTGTTGGTTATGTTTTCATATTATGTTGTCTTGAGTTATCCACGCTTTTCCTGTAGTTCTAAGGTTTGTATTTACAAAAAGATAGGTATATTGCATCCTTTTTTGTACTACGAGCTCGTAATTTCAATGATGTTTTAATCATGAATTTTAAAGTTTTAAGCTATGAGATGGTTGTTTCAATGCTGTCATGAATCATGGAACGTTTTTTTAAATAAGCGTGGTAAAGTTAACATCAAGCTGTAATTTGTTTTGATTGTGACGGATTGTTTGATACAGACATGCATATTGGTGGGAAAAGCTCTTCACATGATTTTATCGGGAGACTTCGTTAGTTGTCTTGCACAGCCCAGCTGAAGCAAGAGTGACGTGGGTGGATGCAGCTTCTGGAACAAGCCCTCTCAATGAGCAACGGAATCATGTAAAAGGATATTCATACTGTCGAGTTTTCTGGAGCATGCTCAGTAACAGAGTTGCTTTGCATTCAATGCTCACGTTTTGATGCAGTGATCATTACATAGAAAACTCAACCAGGAGTATGCTGGATGAACAAACGTTGCGGAGATAAAAGTTGCAGCTGCCTGAAAAAAAGACAGAATTAAAACTGCTAAAACAGTGTCACAAGATTCATTTTGAACTTAATGTGTTTTTAAAGTGCATCGAGCCTCATTGTTCCGACCACCAATTACCCACCCTCTTCCCCTTATAGGAGGTGGGAAGCAAATATGGCATAGGTGTTTTTTCCCGATTTTGACTACCTCAAACAAAACTCGAAGGGGGTAAATACGGTATCATATTAAAGCCCTATTGTCGTGATTCGGACTCAAGTATCAAAAACTCAAAAAAACTGGTCTCACTGATCATAAAAATTGTCTGGATTTTTTTGTTTTTTTTGTGGCGTGATCTGAATTTGCAATCTAAGACAAATTTCCAAATTAATTCTAGAGACATTTTTTGACTATTTTAGCCATTTTATCCATTCAATCTATCTTATGAAATAAAAAATAAACAACGGAAGAACTGAAAATTACGAAATAGATGTTTTTTTTTACTTTTTAGTTTTCGTTTAAAAAAAATTACGGTCGGAACATTCTCTACTTGCACAGCAACCCCCATTCCTTGTTATTTCTTGAAATTGAATTCAAAATACTGCTGTATAAAAATTCATTTTTCATGTCTATGTTGATAAATTTGGACCGAAGAATTTTTCATTATTCCGACCACTCTTAGAGTGGCAAGGAAATATGTCGACGACGGGTGAGTCAAGTGTAATATCGAGTTAAAACCGTTTTAGTTGCTACTCCGGCTCTAGAAAGATTTATCATTGTTTTCTGTGTCGAGAAAAAGAGATCTGGTATTTCGATTTTCGGACTGCTTTTTAGCGGTGGAGTGAATCACAATTCAACTTTGATTTTTTAAAAAAAATTAGTGAGTTGATTCCAGGAACAAACCTGAAAACACGCATTAAAATTGGAGTGCTATGTCAGTTGACTATGGATCAACAGTAGTAGTAGTGTTCTTCTTAAATGACAAAAGTTTTCTGTGTAATTGATATTGTTGGAAAATACTGTGCTATACGTTGCAAACTATCTAGCTAATTTGCACGATGGCCACGGCATCAGTGCGAAGCTTGATCTGCCAGTGCCATAACAGCACTAGCAGATCAATATCAGCAACAATCATTTTTTTAACTAAAACTTTGATAATGGAATCGAATTTTTAAGCCTTACATTGGATTGCTCTCCGCGATACCGTGAAAGGTTAATTGGCGGAAAAAAATTGAAGAGCTTTCAAAATTTTTAAACTGTTTTGTAAGTTGTCAAAAATAGGGAAAACGGTGGCCGACCGGTTGTGTTAGCCGTGTGTTATGCATGGCTAAGCTGGAAAAGAGTAACATTTTTGGTGATATATTACAATAAGTGGTAGCAGGGTTGGGACTGTTTTAAATCATGTTTTAAAACAAGGCAAAAAAACACGGTTTAAAACAGAAAATAAAAAACAGTGTTTTTCATTTTTTTGAAATTATCGCAAAAAACTAGCATTGTCTGGGAGTCAAACCGCTGCAAAAGGGGTATGGGCCGCTTGCCTTTTTTGAGCCGGCTCGATCTGTGCAATGCTGCACCGAATCATCTTAAACATTTTGTAGCAAAAAAAGTGATGATTATCTGACTCCCGTTTTTCTTGCCGCATATCTACAAAGATCATCAGTATGAGGGCATAAAGTTAGAGCTGAACAAACTGTAAAAAAAAACATGTTTTTCATTAAAACAAATGCTGTTTAATTGATTTTTTAAATAAAAAACGTTTTTTTTCCAACCCTGGGTGATAGGTTCAATATCAATAACTGGATCGCTTTTGCTATACTTCGCACATTATTGTTAAATTATTCCATAGGCCAATTTTTCGGCAGAAGAAAGGTAAAAATTGAGTCTTAGAATAGCATTTCATTTTGCAGAGTAATGTATTTACAAAAACTATCTAACTAAGATATCAATTGATTGAAAATAAAATGACTATATTAAGCATAACAGTTCTGAAAATACATGCACTTTACTCAAAATTACAACCTATTGTAACAAATCACCACATTTTTTGAAAAACTGGTCTTATCAATTATGCCCTGACCAACCTTCTCGAAAATAAATTAATCAGAGCCATAGTTAGACCGATCGATCTTCCATTCATTTGCTAAAAATGTGTGTTAAGTGAATTGATGGGTTACGCCCAGAAATGCTTCAAAGCTTGCCGCTTGAAAAATCAAATTGTTCAAAATTAGCAGATTGCGCTTGAATAATTTTGCCTGTTCAAACTTTCAAAAATCCTCTAACTAAAATTTTTGCAAAATATTTGTCTGCAAAACAGATGAAACAATTTTTTACGTCATAGTCGAGCCGAAAAACAAATTTGTATGCAAATCTTAGTCACATTTGGCGTCAACGTGCATAACTACCAGCTCCAAAACTTTTTCTATACAAATCATAATTAAATTCAGTGCCTTACCGCATGATCGTTTTATCACATGGAATTAGAGTTAATGCGAATTTTTTGGCATTATAGAGAATTGCAAAAAGGTTAGAACACAGAATTAATTAAAAAACAAATGAACTATTTCAAAAATTTTTGCATGCGAAAGTTATAGAGAGTTGTAAAAAGATCGGACAGACAGAATTAATTAAAAAGAGCAACTGTCTAGAACGGAAAATAAAACTGAAGTAAACATAACGTCGAAAGTTCATAAAGCAGAGTTACGGGATCTACATAACATTCCGTCTTTCAAGAAAGGGGAGGAGATCATCATTAAAATTACTTGCAGCGATCTTTCGACCAATCAGAATGCAGCAAAATTTGAATTTATATGCAACGTTCTTGTGCGAATTTACTGTTTTTATTTGCAGGGGTAGAGATTCTTTAGTAGATACAATAAAGGGGAGATTTTCAAGTTGATCAGATTTTGGCTCAAAACCTAAAACCACGGCGGGCAACTGGATCCAAAGAGTCAAAATGTTTCATAGTAAAATCTGTATATTCATAGCAGTATTTGAAAATTAGGCTAGCATAATCATCGGATAATGTCGATTCCGCATTTTGAATTTGGTCTGACAAAAAATTCAAGGTAGTTCGGCTTCAGCTTTTGCTTGCAAAAAAGCGTCGAAAAGCACTGATTGCTCATTTTAATTAATTCTGTCTGTCCGAACTTTTTGCTACTAATCATAGCTTTGAAAACAAAAAGTATGACTCAAGATCACCTAAAAACCTGAATTTGCATGCAAAAGTTTCTCAACATTGGCAGTTTGCTCTTTTTAACTATTTCGATCTGTTCCAACTTTTTGCTTCTTAAATAGAGAGTTGCAAAAAGTTCGGACAGACAGAAATAATTAAAGAGAGCAATCTGCTAATTTTGAGCAATGCAAAATTGAAGTTTTAGGTGACACTGAGACATACTTTCTGTCTGAAAAATTAGCTTTTGCATGTAAAAATTGTCTGAAAAAGGTCATTTGCTCTTTTTGATTATTTTTGTCTGTCCGAATTTTTTGCTACTAATTATAATACAGTGCTGATTTAAATTAACCGGACAAAACGCGTTAAACTTGAAATTTAAAACCCGTTTTTCTCAAATTGGGTCGAGTTTAGGTGAAAACTTATTAAGACAAAATTAGCTTAAAATTTTAGCAGAATTAATATGGTGTAATTTATTTTGCGCAATTCGGGCCCGAAATTTTACCCCAAAAATGGGTCATTTTGACTTTTCTTAGTTAATCAAAAATTACGCCAAAAATACTCGCACGATCACAGACATAATTATATCAAAGTGAGCCCCTTACGTAGCCCAACAAACTTTAAGAAGGGCATAACCTCCAAAAAAATTGCAAGATGTTTAAAAATTGTTTTTACATAAAAAGTTGGTATTTTATATAGTAAAAACGACCTTTTTTGTCTATCAAACAAAAATAATATATTTTATACAATTTTTTGGAGGTTATGCCCTTCTTAAAGTTTGTTGGGCTACGTAAGGGGCTCACGTTGATATAATTATGTCTGTGATTGTCCGAGTATTTTTGGCGTAATTTTTGATTAGCTAAGAAAAGCCAAAATGACCCATTTTTGGGGTAAAATTTTGGGCCCGAATTTCGCAAAATAAATTACACCATATTAATTCTGCCAAAATTTTAAGCTAATTTTGTCGTAATAAGTTTTCACCTAAACTCAACCCAATTTGAGAAAAACTAGTTTTAAATTTCAAGATTAACGCGTTTTGTCCGTTTAATTTAAATCAGCACTGTATGGGCGATCTAGAGCATGTTGATCTTTTCTTCAGTTAATGCCAAATTAATGCCACCGGGCGGATCTAGAATTTTAATGCCACCAAATTAATGCCACCGGGCGGGGGGGGGGGGGAGATTCGCAAAAACTTTTCGAAAATTTTATCTCTTTTTTAAATCGATCAAAATGATTTTCCGAGTTCCCCCAAAGCTCTAAAGAAACCCTGTTTTGGGCCATAAAAAAATTGAAAAATAAGACAAAAATAGCGTCTTAAGGCACTTTTGGAAAATTATCCACCAAAAAATAGCAATTTTTTGGCGCGAGCTCCCCCCTTAAATTTAGTATATGTTTGCACCAAAGGCGCCTTTAATTAGAAAAAATTTTAGGGTCCGTCAGCCAAAAATGGATATCTCAAAACAGTTCGAAGGGGGGACCCTCCGGGTCGGCAGGAGGACAAATCCCTGAGAGGGTGGAAGGCGTCCTCCCCCTCCCCCCATAAATCTGCCCCTGGTTGGCAATATCCTATATCCTGTTATGTCAGCGAATCTGAGCGAAGTTGATTAACCTAAAAGTGCTCATTTTGACGTCTGAAATCAAGTTTTGTATTTCAGATGTAAAACCGTGTAAAGAAACATCAAAAAACCCAATTAACCTAGAACAACAGTATTTTGTCCGTTTAAGTTGAACAAGGTCACCGGCATTGCCAACAAATTGGCATTAACAATAAAAGAGGCGATTTGCGGTTGAGATTTTGTCGCACCAATTTTACGCGCGGAAGTGAGTGAAAAAATGGTTTCTGAGTTCAACAGAAGTTTTATTTGAAATAGTTCCCCTCAGATTCGTTGAACGTAGAAAATTAACAACAGTTTGACATCAATTGTAATATTGATAATTCCAAATTGTTGGCTATATCGTTTGCTGCTCACAAATCTGAATAACATCAATTCAGATAAAACTGTTTTATACGGTATCTTGAATCATTTTTTCACCCTTTTCAGCACGCAAAAGCCATGTTAGAAAATCTAATTATCCTCAAAAGCACTA